TTCCAGTATGGGCATCCAAGAAATGATCTGAACCACATCTCAAGTCGCCTCTATAATCCCCCATATCTACGAAGGAAGTATGATCTGATCAATTACTTTAGAGAAGAAAACTCTTTTTGAGGCGAAAAAATCGTACAATGCATATCTCTCTCCACAGCCTATTTTTGCTTGCCTGCTTCCCACATGGAATCTCGTATGGCAATGATGAACGAACCTGAACGCCCAGATATTGCCGTCCGGCACCAATCAATCAGAATACATCTCCCACTCCCATCCATCCACGCAGCACTTCCCTCGCCACTGCCACAGTCTCTCCTTCAGCATCAGACCTCTCCAGATCAAATCCCAACCCATCCAATCTCTAATATCTCTTCCTCGTGGGCTCAGGACTAGGACTCCTACTCGCACTCCTCTCATCCCTCCCCCTAAGCCTCAGCCACTTCTTCGTACTCAACTCAATCTCCCTATCCAGCTCGGGACTCGGGTTCTTCCTGTGGATGAAATTGCAGAAACCGCCGCGGACACATCCCTCCCCGCTATTCAGTCTGCAGCAAGCTTCACGGAAGTCGGTGACGGGCGATAGCTCGCAGTAGATCGGGCGCGCGGCGTACCACCGGGAGTTCAGGGCGTCGCAGGCTTTTTGCGCCGAGTCTTCGTACTTGAAGCGTGCGTAGACGTTTCCGATGAGATCTATTCAGGTGTGAAGTCAGCATGATGTCTCATAAAAAGAATCGGAAAGGAAGACAAAGAAGGCAAAAACGTACGGTCATTATTATTATCACACACAACCACCTCCTCAATCTCCCCAAACTTGCACATCTCGCACCAGAAGTCCTCGTAGAAAGCATCAAAGTGGTTCTGCAGCTGGCTGGCGTTCATCTTGTTCTTTGGGTCGTAGGCCGGGTTCTGGTAGAGGTTGGGGAGGAGGATTGTTTGGCTGTAGGAGGGCTTGACGTGCTTGCGCGAGCAGCGATCGCCGTGACGGCAGGCGCCGATCTTGTAGTAGAAGGAGCAGTTGACTTTGTCGGCTTCGGTGCCGAAGATGCTGGCGAGGTAGTTCGCCATTATGTGTGAGGTTGTGTTGACTAGAGGGTGGTGTTGAAAGGGTGGTTTGCGACAGACAAACTCGACGCTGGAAGAGAATTTGCGCTCAGCTGGAAATCGCACTTGGTGACTTAGAGTATGCGCGCTTCGGTCTGTAGGTTAATCCTCCTGATCAAATTTGACTTCGTGAGGTGTTATGAAGATGTTCTGGGGAAGTGTGGCTTGGGCAGGCAAAAAGCTCAAGATATCAATCTGGAGGAGCTCGGGAGCGACAGCGCCAGTCTCGATTTGTGATGGCGGCTCGAAGCGAGGAATGGATGACTAAAGCCTTGTATTTGTGGCGGATGCTTCGAGAACAGCCTTCATGTACCTACCGAATTTTATATTTCTTTTGAATGATTCTGCAGAGGACAACTGTGCTTCGGCTAAGGATTCTAGTGATTTCTTGTTTTGCTGAGGTCTATCTATTGCTTTCTTCAGCAAGTTGAGAGCATGCAAGAGCGATATTTCACCGTCATTGTACTTTCAATGTCATGCCATCGTTCCTTCCACAATATGCAAAGCCTTGTAGCGCGACAATCGTCCCTATCATCAAAGTCACCGGCTTGCCTAGTGGTATAGAGGTCTTCAGACTTACGTAAATCTGCGTTGCTGGTTGTAGTAGCAAGAGGTTTGATGGAGTTGTATTGAGTGTTTCTTACATAATCCAGGGGAATATGCTAGATTTCGGTTTGACACGGGCTGCAGTTTCTCTCCATCACGTATGATTCAAGGCAATGCTTTAAAAGTCATTCAATTTAAAGTCAGAATATTCGGTCCTCGCAAGAACAGCCAATCCGGATATCAGATTCCTTTTGCTGCTCTTCAAATCTCAGAAATCCCGGTAGCCCAACCACATGTTGTATGCTAAAGAAGTGCACTGTCCTGGATGGGAACATCCTGCATCTGGAACCGAATCTTCGACATCAGAACTGCACCGGTTATGCCACCTTCGGACCATGAAATTGTAAGATCACTACCGACTATTAGCTCTTGTTCTCCATTGTCATCAAGGAGATCAAACTTCCCCGCTGTCTTCCGTCTTATCGGCCCACGGATGGGGGTAGACACAGTATGAGTATGGGTTTGGCTGGGGAAGCGTGAGATGATATAATGACGCGGTTGTCTCGCGAATGTCCCCTAAATAATAATCAAATCAGTAATTTCTCCGTTTTACCTTTCTCAGCAATCTTTTCGAACACAAAGTACTCTGATACCCGATTCAGGGGAGCAGCTGCTGGGGCTAACGCACATGGACCTTCTGGTGACATAGCTCTGCCCATCTGAACTTTGCTATCGCCTTGAGCATTACATCCGACAAACGCCCATGTATATGGCTGGCCCTCTCCGAACATCTTCGTATAGAAGATTTGGCCATGCTGCATATCTTGTAGGACAGTGGCGCAATTTCTGATATTGTTGTCCCATTCTGTGCCGTTGTAGAACTCATAGAAATGCCGTTTGTCAGCGAAGTCGACGTGTACTCGTGCAACATAGATGTCCTTGCTGTTAAAGACTCCTGAGCCCTAAATAGCATGTCAACGCTGCTCTATCTCAATATCTCATACAGTGAGATCCCATATAGAAGTACTGACCCGTTGACCATAGAGGTAGATGTGTTCACCACAGGTAACAGCACACATGCTGAATTGAGGTTCATTAGTCTGCTTGACTGTCAGTACTGTTTATCATTTCTCCAAGCGCTTGTAGAACTCGAGCTCGATCTACGGCTTACCCCAAAAAGCACGTGGTTACCAGTAGATTCCCCGTGTCGATAGGTCTTGAAGCACTTCAATTCCATATCATAGACAACTTTGGCGATGCCGGTATAACAGTACGTAGGGATTTCTCCGATGCGATTCCTCTGGCGAACTTCAAAGAACGTCCATCCTACGATGCGCTTGCTATCAAATCCTTCCGTCTTCTCGAGCTCCCAATCGTCGGTTCTCTCAACTATGCCACTGAATGACCACTGTTAAGAAATTTGATTAGTTTTGTATTCTGGAGGGATATCTCAACTGCTGAGGCACTTTGAGAATATTGAAGGTTGTATTGAGAGGAGGAAGCATTGCCCGAAACAATTGAAGATCGCCTCTAAGTGGAATAAAGGATTAGAGACCACTCACGATCTTTTCTCCCCGTCTAATCTCATCATACTCAAGCTCAATGAAGGGCTTAATAATATCTTCACCCAAAGGATCACGGTGTCTGTACGAGGAGAGGGTTGGGTTTGAAGGATCGGTAGCAATCGCACAGGTGTTATCAGTCAAACCAAGAAAGCGACCAGCGTTGTCTTTAGAGAAGGTGTCTCCAAATCTAAGTGGTGATGGTCAGCAGATATTCGTTGTCTCTCTTGCTTGGAAAAACAGAGTAAGCTGCCATGAAGCTTCTGCTGCAAAATTCCATGGTGATCATGGGATGCGGGGGGAAAGAAAACTTACTGAAATAGAATCTCTCCGTTTGACAGGATGGAAGCTCGACCAATATCGCGGGCGTATTTGTTTGCAGTGACTGCTTATCAGCCTGTATGCCAGTAAAATGTGGATTCGGGGCTCTGAGCTCACTATCACGGTGGAAGCCCATGGGGGTTTGATGGATGATTTCTGGTGGCCATGCGACGCGTCTCTCCTTTATCGTGGCCTTCATTTTGCCTCTGGCAATTGAAGACAACATCTTGGCGCTGTGTTGTGGTTGACGTGTTTGATGGTGTTGTTGTGAGGAAGGAGCGAGGGAGGGGCAGGAAAACAAACACTTTCTGTTTGGGAAATGCCTTGGCACGTGGGTGCAGCGAGAACGGATGAACTATTATTCCAGCATTATGGACCCATGTAGTTATCAGTACCAGGTCTTAGCACTTCGAAAGACTTTAAGAACTTTAAGTTCTTCGAAAGTGTTAGGAGAGAGGATCATTTCATGATCTCCTAAGCGAGAGAGAATTGTAACTTGAAAACACTATACTCTGATGTATCTCTCCTCGCTGTATCCTTTAGATATTAGCTCTAGTAGCATGTCGAGATAAATTAAACTACAAAAAGCATTCTACGTTGTTCAAGGGTAGTGTAAAGAATAAGTGGCTCTGCACATTTAGCTATTGAGCCTTGTCCTAGTATATTATCATTACGTTTTGTGTCTAGAAGTCTCTTGATTAAAGACTGACGCTTTGTATTACTCCAACAAAAAGCTTAGACTGCTCCATCAAGGTAGTACATATCGTCTCAATCATGTTGGCTTTTACCTCTTTGAATGATTTCCCAGCCGGTATAGTATCGTCAAAATCAATGTAACCTCATACAAGGGTACCTTGCTCTCACTCAAATTGGAATGAAAAGAAGTAGAGAAAGAATCATCCAATTGTTTCAAGGACTGAAAAGCTCTTCTCTCTCGTCGAATTCTCAAAAAAGTGAAGCTTAAGACAAATTCAACACATTGACATTAGCCTCATGTACATACAAAAGACCTAAACAAACTTCCAGTATCAAATAAATAAGACTTTCGTCAGCCATATGTTTCCTCAGTTGAAAGTCTTGCGGGTAAAACCTAGGCTATTAGTATCTTTCTCGGTTTCTTTGCAGATAAACAACACATTGCCAAAGAGTACCGAATTTCGGACCTAACTAGCATCTCCGCTGTCTGTGCTGCTATGACATCTTTCCCCACTCCGCACGAGACGATTAATACTTACAAATTAAGGGCTTGTAGAAATGATTTGCAACGGAGCCAAACTTTCGGCTGCGAAATCCGGTGACTAAGATTCCTCGCCTCGGCTTCTGAGGCAACGAAAAATGACTCTCCGCAACAGCCAAGAAAAACATACCATGGCTATGGAAGATATATACAAGCTACTAGAATCACAAAAACAAAAACCATGGAAGGAATCGGGCTCATTCAAGCCAACAGCCTCAATCCCAGCCAAAGGACGGCCTCTGCAGGAATCGAACCTGCGACCTTCCAACCAGTCTTGATGTTAGAATCAAGTAATGCGGAGGACGTGATGAACCACTACACTAAGAGGCCAACGACTTAATGTTTAGGTTCTGTTTATTTGGATGCATGTAGATGGTAAGAGAATGGATGTGGGTGAAGACTGGGATGCTAGAAAGGGAAGGGACGATGAAGTGGGTTCCTTCGAAGTGTCCTGGGGAGATCTTGTCCTAGTGAATCATGTATGCTTAAGCGACGAAACGGACTCTGCATTCTCATGTAGAAAACAATGGCATAAAAGATGAAACGTGTATGCTCTTCAGATGAAAGACTATCCGCCTAGGTTTGAGTGCAGGCGGTATTTAATGTGAAGGTCTTAGAGATCTTCAAGCTCGCCACTCGGCTTTGTCTTGCCTGAATGAAAGGGTCACGTCGAGAAACCAGTCTCGATGCTGCTTCAAGGTCATGCATGAGCTACTCAATAGGTCCAAATAAAGTAGAGCGAAGCTGTATTGCAAGAAGCTTTAACAAGCGTGATGTGGTGAAGAAAGGTTAAGCGAGATTTCATCTGGAACCAAAACAAACTACGAACCCTTTAAGTGCAAGGCTGCAGGCGCACATATGGACTCTTGAGCAGAGAGTTCTTTGCAAATCGCCGAAAACAACATCACATAAGCATTGCGAGTTCAATAGTATGAGTTTGTATTTGTAAATGAAGAAAGGCGATCATAGCGACACCCCACTAATCTTAGATCCTCAACACCAAAGTCCCAAAAACGAAGCACGAATCCACCTTTAACCACAAACAAAGCACACTTTGAGAAATTACCAAAAAATGAGAGGAGACAAATAAAATTCTTAGATAATTATGACAGTGCGAACCGTTCCTCGTGCAATCTTACCCAAATTAGCATCTTCAATCCTACTATCGTGAATCCGATAAACGCCTATTCTCTGAAACGTATGAGGCGCATCCTTCGATTCCCGCAGCAATAATCCCGCACCAGTCAAGAACCGTAAGCACCACAATTCATCGGCAATAACACCACGATCTAGACCCGATATTTCATGGTGTTGAGGTTCCAGACAGTCCCACTGGGCAAAGGCAAATGGTATCCGTGTTACCACGTCCAGGATAGTTTGAGATTGGGTTCTTTCAATCAGAACTTTCCGCATCGATCCCCGGATTGTTAGACTTCCTCCGTATGATGACTGTCCAAAAGGAGATTCTTCCCATTGTGGTGCGACTTTCCAGCTGAGAACTTTGGCCACCTCATCATCCAGGAATCCAAGTATTGCCTTGGACCAAGTGACCGGACTGTCGATGGCGGCCCAGGACCAGCTAGGAGCACGGTATTGTGAAGGCCGTGGGAGAGGGGTCATTGCGAAATCCAGGCACCAGAGAAGGGAATGGATGAGGTCGTCGTTCCATAGACCTGCGAGGTATTTTTGACCGCTTAAGGAAGCGATTTCAGCAGCGACTCCTGCAAGGGCAGGAAGCTTGTCCTCGGGCAGCGTCAATTGTCGCTTTGTGTACTCTTTAACCATGTCTCGCCACAACTTGTTGCATTCTTGAGATAGCTTAGTAAGAGGTGTATCCCAGCATCTTTTACGGCTGGCTGATACTGATTTGTTGATTAATAGTGTTTTCAAATTCTCCCTCATCCTGCTTACGATGTCGAGCGTTGTTCGACTGCCTCCACATTCCCACGCCATTCTCGTTGACGAATAGTAAAGAATGCGAGGTGAAAGTATTCGCTCCTGCAGCGTCCACCCGCGTTTGGACCAAGGAGAATCAAGGAGCATCGTAGTAGGTGTATCATCGCACAAATACTCAAATTCGTTGTGCCCTTTGGTACAGGTCAAGCACGTTGGATTCGAATCATCCGCTTTTGACCTCTCGGTAAGAGATTGTTTCCCGCTGAATTCGGCATTACAGTCACTAGCAAGACATATAGTAAGGCTGCTGTGAGAATATATCTTGTGCATCTGAGAAGACTCGGAGACCCAGTCATCGATGCGATCTTGTAGGATGCAAAGTGCATCGATCCATAGGTACTTTAGCCCAAGAGCACGAGTAATACGCACAGCATCAGAAAATCCATGCGATAGAGATGATATCTTGATGCCCTGAGTCATTGACCTCAAAGTCTTTGAGGTTGTCTTGAGGAGCTTTTCGGCACCCCAACAGTGACTGAGTGCTACATACGGACTTGGAGAGTCATTCGACGACTGGAGGTGTATAAAGTCGCTATCAGTCCCAACATTCAAGATTCTGGAAGGGAAAAAGTCTTTCGAGGGCCTGGAACAACTTTTGTGGTTCGTAGAGCAGTCACTTAGCCATCGCCGAGCGACGTACATTGGATCAAATCGTTTGTTGCTCTCCGCTGTCGTAACCACGAGGTATTTTTTCTCCTCAATGTTCTTGTCGTCCTGCTGTGACCTGTAGAGGTGGTAGTACTGATATGATTCTTCAATATACCGGGCTGTTGGCCGCTTTCTTGGGTCGTCTGACAACATGCTGGAAATGATGTAGAGGCCATGCTGCCGATTCAAGCCAAGAGCTTCATCAATATCCCACAGGTGGTGGATCCAAGTCCAAGACTTCCTCAAATTGATATGATAGCTACCGTTTCCTGTTTCAAATGCTCTCAAGTGCTCGAAAGACTCCAGACTCTGACGATATATGACGGTTGCCATCTCAAGAAAGACGCAACCCAAGGAATATATGTCGCTGGCGCCGGCTCTGATGGACTTTCGGCTCCTGGTCGCCAGCTCAGGGGCACAGTACATGGGAGTGACAGCGCAGCTGCTTCCCACTGGGATTTGGGAATGCGAATCATCAACAAGCAGAGCGCCACCGAAATCTGACAACATTACATGGCCGCCCGTAACGAGAACATTGCTTGGCTTGATATCAAGATGCTGCCATGATTTTTCATGCATGTAAGATACTGCAGATGTCAAGCATCCAATCCATTTTGAGAGATTCGAACTTTTGATCAAAGGTGCTGAACAGTTGTTGAGCATGTATTCTGACAAATTTCCCTCCGCTACAGGAGACATGATGATAGAAAATTGATCCTCCAAGGTATAATATGCTACGACGCCAACGATGTGAGTGTGTCTTAAACTGCAAAGAGCCACGACCTCCCGCCGCGCCTGGGCTAATGCAGGATGGGACCGATGAAGCGATGCTCGAATAGATTTCCTGGCAAAATGGGCCTTAGTACCGAAGTGAAGAACCTCGTCCACTGTGCCAAATGAGCCATATCCAAGCTTCCGAATGAATTCGAAGCCAGTGGTAGTCGTTTGATTTTTGGGCGATTTCGCAGCGGCTGGGCAAGCTGTCGTCTCAAGACTTTGCTCTTTCGACCATGGAGCTTCGTCTTTTGCGATTGGGGTTTCACCATCGACTAGATCACTCGAACACTGCGGTTCCTGCCCATCATTCTCATTGTCTTTCCTACGGCCACTAGTACTTCCGTGGGAGCTTCTTGACCTCTTCCCATTTGCATTTCCATTTCGCGGCCCGTTGCGGGCGTCGTAACCTGTCATGGAATTGGACATGTTGTTGCTGTCGAAGTCGTTTTGGGGTTCGTTATCGTCTTCATCACTTTCAATGTGATCATCGTCATCTTCGTCTGGTGGTTGATTGTGGTTTTCGTGATCCTCTGGCCAGGGGTCCTTCCAATCCGGAATCATTCGCATGCCGGCAGTGAAATGCCGGCTGACATGGGCACATCTTGCGTCCCAATTAGGACAAATAATGCCACAAAAGCCACATTGTCTCCGCCAATCTGAGTTTAGGTCGATATACCACGCATCGACATTTGCATTACATCCATGCGCTTGCCTGACATGATCTATCAACTTATCCTTACGATGAAAATCATGTCCAATTCTTAGAACGCGGCCTAAGCACGCGCCATGTGAAGTTGAATGCTGGCCAGCCAGGTCGATAGCTGCGCCACAAAAGTGACATGCAACATTTCCGCTTGAACCAGTTATGATGCATTCCCATCGTCTTTGAGGCCAGTGCGTCTCTTCGTGCCTCTTCCCTGAATTGCAAACATAATCAGCATCTCAAAATTTCTACTGCAGGGGTGGAAAAAAGGATATGGGAAAGATGCGAGACGAGACATAACAATGGTGCGGACGAGATTGAAGTCACACTTACAGTCAGCGTGATGAATGTTTTCTTTTAGACAATACGTGCCATCTGACTTGATGCGAGTACACTGGTATGGTTTCGCTCTAGTGACGTCTTTGATTGAACCTTTCGGCCTCTTCCTCCCCGGACGGTTTCTGGTGGTGGTTGTATGTGATTGGTAAGCTGAATCGTGAAGTCTTTTATTCGAGGTATGGTTTGCTGAATACACTTCCCGGTACCCTGTGACGATCTGAGAGTCAGCAAATGCTACCTTCACCTATCTGTTGGTCCCCTTTTGACAGTAGATGAAATCCAGCAATCGAAAATTTGAGGAAATGTTCAGTGCATGAAGAACTTACAATCTGCTATATATTCCGGTGGAAGATCAAGTTGGTGGCATGAATCTGCCATTTTCTCGATGCGAGGCAGTACATGATGCCTGGCAGAGACGCAAAAGTGCAATTGTGTGACGGAAATACCAATTGAAGCAGCGAATGCCTTTTCATCCCCGGGCCTTGCCATCACGCCATCCTTGAGTTCGGCACTTAGACGACGCTGAGCCTCAAGAAAGTCCGTACAACTAGGTAATCTCTCTGCTCTTTGTGAGGCTATGTGTTCAGACCCGAACCTTTGCTGAACGTAATGTTGCTGTGGTGGAACGATGGGTTCTGGAGCGAGTGCCATGTTAGAAATTGGCTGGCCAAATGGTCTGTTTGGCAATTGCGGTGAAAAGGTTTGATCGTTATATGAGCCCCAGGGATCGTAAACATCCGGTAAGCTGACAAGTGAAGAGCCGAAATTTGCAGAAGAGTTGTTTTGAGAATTTTGTATAGACGAATTGAACAGTGGGTTGAATTGTGAGATGCCTGAAGCGGTTTGGTTGTAAGATGTAAATGACGAAGACTGGGGCGTCTCGTAAGAACGCGTTGAATCCTGGAAA